GGAATCCCAGCGGTCCTGGGGACAGTAAAGGACCAGCACCCGGGGCTGGGGGGAAACAGGGTCAGGACCCCAAAAACCCTCTCAGAAACCTCAAATAGCCCAAAAGAACCCCAAAAACCCAGTGAGGATCCCCAAATCCCACCCAGCCCGGTCCTGGGGACATGAGATCACAAGGACATGGGGCTGGCAGAAAACAGGGTCAGGGGCCCAAATTCCATCCAAAACTTCCAAAAAAACCCCAAAATCACCCAAAGAGAAATCCCAAAAACCACCAAATACCCCAAAAATATCCCCCCAAAAAAACCCAAATGCCCCAAAACCCAGTGAGAAATCCCCAAAGCCCCCAAGAACTGAATGAGAAACCCCAAAACCCAAAAAAAAACCCAAAAACCTTCAAACACCCCGGGAGAAACCCCAAAAACCCCCAATGTCCCCACTGTCCCCAGTGTCCCAATGTCCCCAGTGCCCTCGATGTCCCCGCTGTCCCCTTTCCCTGCTGTCCCCTCACCGAGTGTTCCCGGGGCAGCTGGGGCAGGAAGGTGCCACCACAGCAGGTGACAATGTCCCGCATGTCCTCGGGGCACGGCTGGACACTGGGGGTGACATGCACCTGGTACCCCTGGGGACAGAGGGGACATCAGGGGGACAGTGAGGACATCCAGGGGCTTGGGGACATTGGGGACAGGGGCAGACTGGGGACACTCGGGGGCTGGGGATATTGAGGGGATCGGGAGACTGGGGGACTGGGGACTCTCAGGGACATTGAGGGTGATGAGGGGACACTGGGGACATTAAGGAGGTTGGGGACATGGGGACATTTGAGACATTGAGGACACTCAGGGACATTGGAGGACATTTGGGGACATGGGGGAATTGGGGGCTGGGGACATCTGGGGCTATTGGGGGTGGCAGGGGGCACACTGAGGACATGGGGACATTTGGGGACATTAATATCATTGTCAACTGCAGGAGAGGGTGACACCATGTCCAGGACTGGGTCAGGGGTGGGTTTAGGTGACCTCTGGGGACATTGTCACCTGCAGCAGGGGGTGTTGCTGTGCCTGGGGCTGGGTCAGGGATGGGTTTAGGTGACATTTGGGGACCTTTGGGGACATTTGGGGACATTGTCACCTGCAGCAGGGAGTGTTGCTGTGCCTGGGGCTGGGTCAGGGATGGGTTTAGGTGACATTTGGGGATGTTGGGGACATTTGGGGACATTGTCACCTGCAGCAGGGGCCGCTCCTGGGCCCGGGCCAGCGCCGGGCGCAGGCGGAAGCCAAAGCGCCGCTCACAGGAAGGGTCCCGGGGCAGGAAGGGACCTGGGGACAGCGGGCGGCCAACGTGGGAACTCTGGGGACAACGGGGACACAGGGGTCACACATGGCCACCAGAGCCACCCCAGTGTCCCCAAGGCCACCCCCTTGTCCCCAGAGTCCCTTTGACTGTCCCCAAGTCTTTTCCCTTAACCCCAAGGCCACCCCCAGTCCCCAAGGTTCCAAATACCCCAAAGCCACCCCCACTGTCCCCAAGACCATCCCAATGTCCCCAAATCTGCTCCCATTGTCCCTGAGCTCCCCCTGACCCCAAGGTCACCCCACCTGTCCCTAAAGTCCCCAGGACCAATCCCCCTTGTCACCATGTCCCCAATGTCCCTCTGTCCCCAAGGCCACTCCAGCTGTCCCCAAAATCCCCGTTCTCCCCAACCAATGTCCCCAAATCCCCACAAAGTCCCAAGTGCTGCCCCCTGTCCCCAATGTCCCCAGATCCCTCTCCTTGGCCCCACACCCCCCTGATTGTCCCCAATGTCACCGCAGCAGCCACTGGGAGGTGACAATGGGGACACTCCTGCCAAGGGCACACAGGAACTTCAGTGTCTTCAATGTTCCAAATCCCCCACGTCCTCTCCATGTCCCCAATGTCCCCAATGCCCTGATGTCCCCAACCCCCTCAGCTGTCCCCAAGCCCTCATTG